AAGGAAATAAAGTCCTAAACTACTTTGGACAACAAGTCCAAATACCTTAGGAAAAGAAAAAATACTAGGAAACAAAAACCAAGTCAATCTTGGAAGGTAACTCCAACAATCTTAGGAAAAGGAAAACATAACCTTAACTACCTAGGAAAGCAATAAATCTAGTACCAAAATATATGGAAATAAGTTAAAACCAATCTTGAATAGAATCTTGAAGATCCCAAACCAATCATGAATAGGATCTTGGAAATCTTGAAGGCAACTTGCAAGCAACTTGGCACCAACTTGTACCCAACTTCTATCACGCCTATTGAACCTTTCTTGGTCATCAAGTAAGTCCTTTTTATGTTATAAAAAGTGGTTTCATGTAGGACTTATTGGGCTGCAAGTTTGTACACATTTTTAGGTGCCAAATAAGTCCAATAGTGGCTTGATTTGGACCTTCTTCAGAGGATGTCTCTTGGGATCTAATCCACATTTTCCTGGACATGAATTTGGACCATAAAATAATTATAATACCTAGACAACTCATATCCTTTATCCTTGAACTCTCCATCCCAATTAACAACTTCTTTATTTGCACTTGAAGTCTAATGACCTTGTTTTGCAACTCTTTAGCTTGACATCTTGTTAAAGGTCCTCTTTGAGATTCCAAAGCTTCATTCTTGTCCTTGAATAGATTTTAGCTTCCTAGGATGCCATCAAAGGGTCACGGTCAAATACAGGGTCGAAGACATGATCGAAGGCGAGGGTCGAGGGCCATGATCGAGGATCAGGATCGAAGCCAGGATCGAGGCCTAGGATCTAGGGCCAGGATCGAGGACCAGGATCGAGGCCTAGGATCGAGGACCTCAATCGAAGGCCAAGATCGAGGCAGAACCGAGGTTGTCTAGGCAGAATTATAAAAAATAGGGACTTCGTCCCATTCGCCATTTTTGACAAATTGGAGCTTGAGGAGAGGCGATTTTTGATATATTTTCAAGAAAAACTTGAGGTAAGTCCCTTGTGATAATATCTACTCCATAATATTGAATTATCATCGAATAATCCGACTAGATTACATGATTTTGAGGTATAAATCGGAGATTGGAACTTAGAAATTTGAAAATAAGATTTTGTAGATTTGAGGGTCGAATTGAGGTCGGATTTTAGTAAAATTGGTATGGGTAGACTCGTGGTTGAATGGGCTTTTGAATTTTGTAACTTTAGTCGTGTTCCGAGACGTGGGCCCCACAGGCAATAGTTTGAGCTAAATTTTGGATATTTATGAAAAATTAGTATTTTCTTATGGAATTAATTCCAATAAATTTTAGTGACTGAAACAAATTATTTGTGACTAGATTCGAGGCATTTGGAGGCTGATTTGCGAGGCGAAGGCATAGCAGAGTAAAGAGTTTCACGTTTTGAGGTAAGTAACAGTTTTAAATCTGGTCCTGAGGGTATTAAACCCCGGATTTTGATATCATGTGATTATTTTGGAGGTCACGCACATGTTAGGCGACTGGTGTGTGGACGTGCACCGAGGGGATTGTGACTTGGTCCGTCCCGAAAAAACTGTAAAGTTGAATAATTTGTTGTTAGCTATATGCTCTCTATGTGTTGATAAAATTTGACTGTAAATCATGTTAGAAATCATGCTTAGGCTATGTGATAGTACTGTTGGGACCCACAGAGATCGCGTACTTGTTGAATTGCCTGCTAAATGCTATATGTACTCAGTCTCAGTTTTTACTTGCACATTTTATCTCAGTCTCTATTATTATTATTGATATATCATATCATTGTTGTTTGGGTTGATTTCATAGTTAATGAGAGCCCGAGAGACTGGAGAGATTTATGATTGAGAGAGGCCGAGGGCCTGATTGTAAGATATTGATATCATAGCACGTGAGTTGTCCGTGCAGCACGTGAGTTAGCCATGCATATCCTTATATTATACTATAGCACGTGAGTTGGCCATCCAGATCCTTATATTATACTATAGCACGTGAGTTGGCCGTGCAGCACTTGAGTTGGCAGTGCAGCACATGAGTTGGCCGTGCGGATCCAGATATTAATTTAATGGCACGTGAGTTGTCCGTGCAGATTATAGCGTTTGGGCTGTAGGAGCCCCTCCGGAGTCTGTACACCCCCAGTGAGCACGGGTACCCATTGAGAGTGAGTGATAAGGGCTGGGAGCCCAGTGAGTGATGAGGGCTGGGTGCTCAGTGAGTGATTATTGTCCTAAGAGATTGTACTTGATTTCCATTTGTTGTTGCTCTTAGATGCTATCTATCATTATTGTGAAATCTCTGAAAGATTTTGATATACTGATTACATGAACAGGAACTGTATAAAAATTGATTTGACATTAAACAACCAGATTTTATAGAATGTCTATTCTTTGCTGGAATTACTAGAAATGAACCATAACGGTGTAGCTCGTTTCTATCTTCAGTTCCTTTTTTATTATTGTTACTTGCGGAGTTGATTGTACTCATACTACATCCTGCACTTCGTGTGCAGATCCAGGTGTTCCCGGACATAGCGGGTGTTGATCCTTTTGCGCGGTTGATTTTCAGGAAATTTTGAGGTAGATGATGTGTTTCGCAGACCTTGTCTCTCCTTATCTATCTTTTTGTTTACTGTATTTGGTCTCAGACTATTATAGATTATATTTGCCAGACTTGTATTCATATTAGATGCCCATGTACTCAGTGACACCAGGTTTTGGGGAGTGTTTGTATTGTATTTAAATATTATATTTTCAACCTTAAAAAGAAGTTTTGGTTTATTGAGATTATCGGCTTGCCATCACGACATGTTGGGATTTTGGGTCGTGATAGCATGTCAAATGGTTTCCAATTGGTGGGGTGGATTAAATAATCAAGGAGTGCTTGAAGACAAGAAGCACCACTTCTAATTGTTTCCCACTATGATGTGTTTCCCACCCAACTTGTCTCCCATTTCTTTTGTCCTTCCTTCTTGATCTTTGTTTGATTTGAGTTTCTGCCTTTTTGATAGCTTGCATCAGGCCCTTCGGTTGATGCCTTGTTCTCTACAGTCAAAATAGATAGGTATTAGTTTTGTACACTTGTAAGTAGATAGGTATTAGTTTTGTATACTTGTCATCATTGAAACTTAGATATAACAATCTCCCCATTTTTGATGATGACAACCAAGAGAGAGTAAATATGGTATACTTCCCTTAGAGTTGTTGTACTCATTACTGCTCCCCCTGAGTTGTTCATTTACTCCCCCTGAGTTGTTCATTTACTTTTCCATACATGTTCTCCCCCTTTGACATCAATAAAAAAAAAAGGTGCAAGCCCAGTATATAAAAATATGCATTCAGATAAAATGGATACTAGTTGGGGCAGCATAAGTAATGCCTTCAGCAGAGGCATAGAGCGATGGTTCATACATACATATGCAAAAATAAGTCTTTCAAACAAAAGCAAGCACAAGAGATTGTTTTTAGCACATAAAATCATGCCTTAATATCTCCTTAGGAAGTATTTGAGGGTATTAATCACTTTGGTACAGAAGGATTCATAGGAGGTTTCAACATCTTTGACGAGCTTGTCTATTTTTTCTGACATGGAATTGAATGCCCTGGTTCCTTGTCTCCGTGTGGCTCCCATATCCATCCTAAGCTTAGCCACATCTGTACCTGTTTTCTTGGTGACTTCTCTGATTTTGTTAACATGTTCTTTCATCTCAACAAGCATAAGTCTTACACCGTCTAGATATTGTTGAATCTGCTGAAAGTTTTGAGAGGCAGTTGACTGAGACTCTAGTGGTTCAGTGGGAGCTTCAATCTGTACCGGGACACTCTCAACTTTGGCGCGTTTAACCCATCCTTCATCACTTAAGGTGTAACCCATCATAGAGAAGATTGTCTTATCATAGGTACTGGTAATGTGCTTGGGTGTTAAAGGTGTCAAGTCAACCTTCATAACTCCAAGAATATGTGAAATAAGTAGGCCATAGGGTAGACAAGCAGCGGAAGAGGATATATTCTTGATACGCTCAAGCATGTATTGACGAATCCATACAAACCAGTTGAGTCTTTTGTTGTTCACAAGACAGTATAGAACAAAGATATCCATGGTGGATAAGGTGCTAAGGGACCCAGTTCTAGGAAGTAGAGTGGTGGCTATCATGTGGGCCAAAACCCGGTGTATAAACTTTAGATTTTTGGGACCAATGTCAGGAGGATTATCAGACAGAAAGGCTTTTGCTTCATCTAAGGAAACTTCAAAGTCTTGCGGCCAAGAAATTTGCACAAAAAACTCATACCCATTAAACTTAGCAGAAAAAATCTTCTCAAATTAATAAGAGTCGAGAACAATTCGAGTGCCTAAAACCATGAATTCCAAGTCATCTTTATCATTCACAAACAAATTTGCATAGAACATTCTCACAGGCTCTTCATATACGGAGCTCTCAATAGTATCGAATAGAGAGGAAAGACGTTGAAAATCGAAAACAGCAATCACATCACAATGCAGATTTTTCATAAGAGAGAGACTTACAGTGCGTCCATAAGTCATAGATTTCGATTTATAGGACTCAAACCTTGATTTCTCATTTGGTCCATAGAATATTAATTTGTCCTCTGGGCCAAATTCAGTACTCTCCACTTTCCCTTTCTTGCATGCAGATCTTTTGGGGGTTTGCTCATGGGCCTCTTTCCTGCCTTTTTCTGGCTAATGGGAAGATCCTTAGATGACTTACTGCTTTCATTGTCGGTTCTGAGAGGGTCTAAGTTGATGGATGATTCCAAATCTACAATTTCTTCAGGGTTGAGGGTTTTCCAAACCCTTCTACTTCGTCTGGTAGTGGTGGAAGATGAGAGGTTTATTTTAACCATGGTGAGGATTTCTTTGGAAAGGATGAAGAGTGAGAGGGAGTAGGAGGATTCTTATCTATACTTTGGAGGGATGAAGAGTTGCATTGGTTGAAGGAGAGTACGGATTCAGAAAGGAGTGACTCTTCTGAGGAGATGTTTCGGCGATTCTGATGGAGGTGTAATAATTACACTTTTATCAAAGTAAAATTAACACTTTAAGAGGAAAGTAAAGTGTTTTAATCGTATATAGAAGTTTTGTTTTATATAACACACATGATACCAATCTTTTTCCGCAGTAGATAAAATATTTCTTCTAAAAGAAGTTTTGTAAAAATATCAGCAAGTTGAGATTCAGTACTAGTGAATTCTAATGCAATATCACCTTTAGAAACATGATCACGAATAAAATAATGCTTGATTTCTATATGCTTTACTCTGGAGTGATGCACAGAATTATTTGCCAAACAAATAGCACTAGTATTATCACAGAATATGAAAGTTGTGGTAAGAGATAAATCTTAGTCGAGAAGTTGATGCATGATCCAAAGAACTTGTGTACAACAACTTCCAATAGCTAAATATTCTGCTTCAGTTGTTGATAAGGCAACACGGTTTTGTTTCTTTCTATGCCAGGAAACTAGTGCATTTCCCAACAGTTGGCATTTGCCACTGGTACTGATCCTATCGATCTTATCACCTGCAAAATCTGCATATGAAAAACCTTTCAAGACAAAATTTTTAGAGTGAGCATACCATAATCCTAATTCAGAGGTCCTAATAATATATATTATAATGCGTTTAACAACGGTAAGATGAGATTCCTTTGGAGCCGACTGATACCTTGCACATTTACACACACTAAACATTATATCGGGTCGACTAGCAGTGAGATATAATAAGGATCCAATCATTCCTCTGTACATAGTTTCATCAATACTTCTTCCATGGTAATCTTCGTCAAGCATAGTTGTTGGACTCATTGGAGTCCCAATGGGCTTAGCATTTTCCATGCCAAACTTTTTTATAAGTTCTTTGATGTACTTGGTTTGACTAATAAAGATTCCTTTGAGAGACTGTTTGATTTGTAGTCCAAGAAAGTAAGTTAGTTCTCCCATCATGCTCATTTCTAATTCTCCTTTCATAGAATGAGCAAATTCTTTGCATAAAACAGAGTTAGGACTTCCAAAAATAATATCGTCAACATAAATTTAAGTAATAAGATTACCTGAATCTGAGTGCATAATAAACAGAGTTATATCGATATTACCTCGTTTGAAGCATTGATTTAGAAGGAAGGAGCTTAATCTTTCGTACCAGGATCGGGGAGCTTGCTTGAGTCCGTATAGAGCTTTTTTCAGCTTATATACATGATCTGGGAGAGCATCATTTACAAAACCAGGAGGTTACTTTACATAGACTTCTTCAGAGATGTATCCATTTAGAAAAACACTTTTTACATCCATTTGAAATAGTTTGAATCCATTATGAGCAGCAAAGGCAAGTAATATTCGAATAGATTCCAGTCTTGCTACTGGTGTGGATGTTTCATCATAATCGATTCCCTCTTGCTGAGAATAACCTTGCCCAACAAGTCGTGCTTTATTTCGCATCACTAGTCCGGATTCGTTTAACTTATTTCTGTAAACCCATTTTGTTCCTACAATAGAAGCATTTGAAGGTTTTGGAACTAGTTTCCATACTTTATTTCTTTTAAATTGATCAAGTTCATCCTTCATTGCTTTGACCCAGTGAACGTCTTTTAGTGCTTCATCCACTTTCTTTGGCTCAAGTTGAGAAATTAGAGCTATGTGGGAATTGAGCTTTTGAGATCTTCTGGTAGTGATTCCTTCATGTGGATTTTCAATAATGAATTTGTGAGGATATCCAGGTTCACTTTTCTATTCATTTGGGATGGTTGTGGTTGTTTCCCTTTCCTCAGTAGTCGACTGCTCTATTGAAGAAAATTCTTGGACTTCATTATGTTCCTCAGTTGACTGATCTTGCTGACCAGTCGACTCCTCTTGACAATTCTTTCCTGTAACAATAGATTTTGGAATAATAGAAATTTCCTCATCTTTAGGAAGTTTTTCATTCCTTGAGTGAGGGTTAGTGTCAACAAAAATAACATGAATTGATTCTTCAATGCATAAGGCTCTTTTATTGTACACTCTGTATGCTCTACTTGAGGGAGAGTATCCAAGGAATATACCTTCATCGCTTTTTGGATCAAACTTACCCAGATTGTCCTTTCCATTATTATGAATGAAGCATTTGCATCCAAAAGGATGAAAATAACTAATGTTGGGTTTCTTACTATTCCATAGCTCATATAAAATCTTTTTAAGAATGGGTCGAATTAAATATTTGTTGATAATATGACATATAGTGCTTACAGCTTCTGCCCAAAAGTGGTGAGGTAGAGAGTTTTCCATAATCATGGTTCTAGCCATGTCCTGTAAGGTTCTATTTTTACGTTCTACCACTCTATTCTGTTAAGGCGATCTTGGTGAAGAGAAATTGTGAGAGATTCCTTGGTCATTGCAGAAGTTTTCAAAGGCTCTGCTTTCAAATTCTCCTCCGTGATCACTTATGATAGTGGAAATGTAGTATCCCTTTTCACGTTGGACCTTCTTACAGAAAACTTCAAAATTTCTTAGGGCTTCATCTTTATGACTTAGAAAAATAACCCACGTAAATTGAGAAAAATCATCCACAATAACAAATGTGTATTTTCTACCACCTATACTAGCAATTCTGGTTGGACCAAACAAATACATATGCAATAGTTGAAGTGGTTTAGTAGTAGAAACAATGTTTTTGATTTTGAAAGATGAGTGAGTTTATTTTCCTAGTTAACATGCATCACAAATATGATCTTTTGAAAAATCTAGCTTTGGAAGACCAACGACAAGATCATGTTTAGAGAGTTTTTGGATAGTATGCATGCTAGCGTGTCCAAGCTTTCTATGCCAAACCCAAGGGTTATCGATCATAGAAGCAAGACAGATTTGATTTCTAGGACTATCTATATTGCTGATGGTGTAAACATTTTTGTCTCTGTTACCTGAAAGAATGACTTTACCTGATTTGTCTTCTATAAACCAGCCATGTTTCTTAAAACGAACCTCATAATCATTGTCACATAGTTGACTGATACTGAGAAGATTGCAACCGAGTTCATCAACCAGGCATACTTCGTCCACATCACATGTTGAGCTAAGGGGGAACTTTTCCCATTCCAATAACATTTCCTTTTGATTTATCTCCGAAGGTAGCTGTTCCTCCATCTAGTTTGGTGACTGTTTTGAATAATTGTTTGCCACCAGTCATATGTCTGGAACATGCGATGTCAAGATACTATTTTTATTTTTGATTCTTCTTGCGATGTTCCTGTAAAACAAGATTATTTGTTTTTAGGTACCCAAGCCTGCTTGGGTCCTGAATGGTTAGATTTCTGAGTGTTAGCTTGACTAGAGGATTTAGGTCGCTAGACCCATCTCCTATTGTCCTTAAACCAACAATGGTTAGAAGTGTGACCATGTTTTTCATAATAAAAACACAACGGTTTATTGGGATTTTCAGAGCCTTTTTCTGCTTTGATTTTGTTCCTGCATTGGTTGGTGTTGTGACCATTTTTACCACAATAGCATGCCTGAAGGTTTCTAGTTTTAATCAAATAGTTAAAAGGAGTGGTCGAATTTGACTTGACGGAACTATGACTAGTGGATTTTTGTAATCCATTCAATTGAAGTTGAAGTTCATTTACTTCCTCTTGAAGCATGTCACGTTTAATTTCACACACTTCTAGCTTCAAGGCCCAGTCCTTTTTTTCTCTTTGGATTTTTCTGAGTTCATTTAGAACTCTTTCAATATCTGCAAGAGCAATATTAATAAATTCTTAAAGTTCACAACAGTTAGGACAAGTAGGAAGATGTACCTTACTACTTCACTCGTCTGCCATAAGACCGAGTTCACCTGAGTCCTCATTGCTATCTTCTTTTATGGCCATGAAACACATATTTGTAATTTCTTCAAGGTCAGATTCTTCTTCATCACTCCAGGCTCTAAAAGACTTCTTCTTTTGAAAGTTCCTGCTGAGTTTTGTCTTCAGTATGGGACAATCAGCTTGAATGTGCCCATATTTTCCACATTCACAGAATCTTCCATTATTTTTATCATTTTCATTTTTTTCCTTCCTCTTCTAAAGTTTGATTTCCCTCTTTTGCTGAATTTGTTCTTCCTCATCATGCTAGCTACAACTTGAGAAAGCATGGCTATGTTTTCATCCTGTTCTCCTTCTTCCCCTTCTTCTTCGTTTTCTGGTTCAGCCACAGTCGCTTTAAAAGCTACTGCTTTCTTCTTTTCTTGTTGAATTTGCCTGTCCAAGTGAGTTTTCTCAAAGGCAATTAAATCACCTCGAAGTTCATCATAGGATATTTTGTCAAGGTCTTGACATTCCAGAGCAATAACTTTGGGCTGCCAGATTATGGGTAGGCTTCTGAGGATTTTTCTGACTTGTTCTCTGTTTGTATTGGTCTACCAAAAAATTTTAGATCTCCAAGGATTTTGCTGAACCTGGAGAACATTTCCTCCACTGATTCTCCATCCTTCATCTGAAATAGCTCATAGTCACGAACTAGAAGATTGATCCTTGTTTCTTTTACCTTGTTGGTTCCCTCATATGTGATTTCCAATTTATCCCACATTTCCTTGGCAGTTTCACAGCTTGAAATCTTTTCATACTCTTCTCCACTGATGGCATTATACAGTAGATTTTTTACTTTGGCATTCACAGTTATAGCAACAGTTTGTTCATCAGTGTAATCATCCAAGTCAAGTGGATCAGTTGATACAATGATTTGATCATTTTCATCTTTCATAGGTGGAATTGGAAGATTTTTCTTTTTTTATAACACGCCAAACTTTGATGTCATATGACTTAGTGTATGTTTCCATGCGAACTTTCCAATGAGAAAAATGTTGTCCGTTGAAGTATGGAGGTCGTACTTGAGAGGTTCCTTCTTGAAATAATGCACTGACGACTGTGTTTGATCCCATGATCTTTTTCTCACTAGCTATTAAGCAAAGTTTGTGAGCCAGACTCTGATACCAATTAAAAGTACAAGAGGGGGGAGGTGAATTGTGGACTATTAATTTCTTAGTTGACTAAGTTTTCACTTAGTCGACTAGCTTTCGTGCAGTACACAGATAAAATAGAGATGAATGTAATGAATTTGATGGCAACACAAGACACAACAGTTTTTATACTGATTCAGTAATAGTATGGTACTTACGTCCAGTTTCCCTTAGGTCACAAGGATTCTTTTTAGATCTTTGACAAAGAATTACAACAGTAATGGTTTTGGCTCGTTCACCACCAACGATGTTTAGCAATAATGATTTCTGGATGTTGACACAACTCTCTTTTGTGTTCTAACTCCTTCTATCTTTTATGACACTTGTAGACTCAAGAATACAGTGTTTGTACTTAGACTTAGAGACTTAGAAGACAGTATTTGTAGTTGCGCACTTTCCTCCCTTGAGTTCGCCAGTGACCTTAAAAGAAAGTATTGTTGTGTGTTTGTGTCTGATTCCAGCAAGGTGTCTTGATTCTTTCAAGAGAGATGGGTGTTGGATTAGAGCATGGTATCTCTGATTTCTTCAAGAGAGATGGGCTGAAATTTGTTAAATCATGGAGTGCTTTGTTCCATGCCGAGATGCTTCATACTTTTCGATAGCTTGATAGCTTGCATCAGGCCCTTCGGTTGATGCCTTGTTCTCTATAGTCAAAAGAGATAAGTATTAGTTTTGTACACTTATAAGTAGATAGGTATTAGTTTTATACACTCAGTGGCGGAGCCACCTTATAGGAAAGGGTGTCACCCCTTGGCGAAAAAAATACACTGTATAGGTAGATAAAAAAAATATTTATATGTATACATATTATGTGTTGACTCCCCTTAATTTTCTTGTATGTTTACTTTTATATATTTTGACACCCCTTAATAACAATTCTGGCTCCGCCACTGTGTACACTTGTCATCATTGAAACTTAGATATAACAATAATGACAACCAGGTAAATGTAACGTAGAAAAGTTGGTTAGTTTTCCTTCAAAATATTGTGAAAACTTTCGACCAGGTATAGGTTTCCGCTTTTACTTCAGAACCTTGTCCTTGAAATAATGCTTGCAGCCACGATAATTAACCATAAAAGAAGAGGAGATTGTAGCTATATAGAACATTAATCAGCAGATGTAATTCAAAATCATACGAAGTACAAAACCATGGATCTACAAAAGCCAATCGAACAATAAGGTAAACGTCTGAGTGTCTGGGACGACAAGACACTGTAATCCTGCTTTTAATACTGATCAAAATCAACAGACCAGTGTAGTGTACCACCAGAGGCGCGCATTAGGCCTTGCCTTTACCAGCTTGGAGAGACTGAATCTTTTGTTGTAACTTCAGAATCTGGAAAATGACGAGTATATCAACAAACAAATGAATCAGGGAAATACAAATAGTGGACTGAACTGCACAAGACACCTAATGACTTTAGCAGGAAGCAAGACAAATCACCAAACAAATTACATTTTTCAATATTTGATATTAAATTTTCAAACTAAAGCCTCTGGAAATCATAGTTACACAGTTCAGCTCCCTAAGTGACTGGAGTTGATAGCATAGTAGCCAAGGGGATTCAGTAAATGATCAGGAGATACATGAAAATAAAACATAGGCCAAAGAGAAAAATATTGAAGTAATAAAGGAATTCGTCAGAAAGAGCAGACATGAAGTAACAGGTATTTAATTGCTACATACAAACAGTTGCAAGAAACAGTAAGGGGGAAGAAATCACGGTGGAAACTACAAGTTCATATCGATAGGAATATTTGTTTTCTTTGTTCATTCTAGCAAAACATAACAGAAGTCATGCACTAAACGCCTAAGAAAACTGACTCAGAATTAGGACTGGGCATAATATGGTAACTACCGAATTACCATATCAAAATCGAAAATTTTGGTATTCGGTATTCAATATTTGGTACGGTATTTGGTTTAAGAAAATTTTGGTATTAGGTATGGTATTTAAAAAAATATTACCAAAATACCGATACCGTATCGAAAATATATACTAAGTTACATATTACACATATTATTGATTATAACATACTATAAGTTACACTATTTGTCTTCGGCATTCATGCTGAGGTCGGCTACGTAATGTTTCTATGGTTTTAGGGTGTTCCTTACTTCGTTACTCGTGTATTGCCATTCCATATGTTGGATTAATCCTTATTGTATTATGTAAGTTCAACAATTAATTCTAAGCAAGTATAAAGACATTTCCATGGATCAAATTTAATCCTTTATGTACCCTTTTTCTCCCCGTTGATACTTGATGATTTTGGACAAAGATTTTGTCAACAGTCAGGTGAGTCTAGAACATTTTCATATTGTATTTGTAAGTACTTTAATTAGAATATTATAGTTAATATTCAAGCCGAACAAACCGAAGTTACCGAATCAAATTAATCGAAACCGAAAGGAGGAAAGCCGAACCATACCGAATTTAACATTTTAAGAAACCGAATACCGAACCAAAATGTCTAAATACCGTACCGTACCGACTGATGAACTTCCCTACTCAGAATCCCTAATATTGTTATATAGATGCCTTACACTGCAGTCTCAGCTCCTCCCCAAGATAAAGGTAAAGTAGTTTATCCAACAGAGAGTAAGAAGGCCATTTAGATGGCCACTCTACTTTGACTCAATTTCCTTAGCCTCTTGCTACGTCCTCCAAAATCATGAAAACAGTTTGCAAATATAAAGTTTCGAATCCTGGACACGATTCAAAGGAATTCCAAGAACTGGCTAAATGGAAACAAATAAAATAATAAAATAAGAAAATGAATGATGTTGAAACCCATTGTGAGATCTGAACATGCTTCAGCAACAAGTGATATTTCAGGTACAAAAAATCTCTCTGGGTCTTTCTTTATTATTGCTGACAGAATTGAGCAATCTCTACCCAAATAACAATTAAGCAGGTTTGAGCATGTTGTAAGAGTTGGGAAATAACTAACTTTTTTACACAAGTAGAAACTCTAGACAGCTCAATAGACTCTTGATTCAATGTAATAGGCGACAATGGCAGACACACGTATGCTTTACCAATGACAAATTAATCATAAATTGATTCAGAAACAGAAAGGAGTATAATGTTCTCTTTCAATGTAATTTTCGACCAAGAAGTTCCGACAAAATAATTAATAATGCTATCTGCAATTTGTTACTCCATAGTCGCTGTAAAGCAGCAAATCTAAGACAAATGTGCTCATACAATGAAGAAAGTCTAAGGCAAACAAATTTTTTCTTCATCACGGCAATTTTTCTTATAGTTCTCAAAACAGCAAATTGATGGTCGTCGTAAAATGTGAAAAATAATAAGACAATACATAAAGTGAGAAGTGAACCAACCGTTTCCTTTTTGCTGTTCTGCTTTTCTTCCAAGTCTTGAAGAGTACTATCTAGTCGCTTTCTGTTGAATGATAGAATGACAGTAGTCATTACATGACCAAAAAACCGTAACAACTAACAAGAACTACAGAAGCAGCAAAGGAAAATAAATGTTTTATTATCTACTGACTACCATCTGCTGCTTAAATTTACTAAATACACTTAGAAATGCACACTCTACATAAGAATTCCTGGAAAACCAAACAAAAAAGAGCCATGTTCAGCTCATGCATTATTCAGAACAGTGAGTTTACTAGTCCATTTACGCTTTGCTTTCTGAAATCCATGGACCATGCATTAAACTCTTCCGCATTTCCTGGTACAAGTCTTGGATACAATTGTCTGTTTGAATGGTTGGGTTTTTTGCCAAAGCACTAAATCTAGGACAAGGACTCATGGATAAAATCATGGACAATGATACCTTATGGACATATAGAATAAATTTATGATGTATACCTGTTTAACATCTTTCCTTATGCAGGATATGCATCCGTTCTCCACCTTTTTTATAAAGAGAAGTCCTATTTTCAAGTCAAAAATTGGGTGGACGGGGAGTACACTAATTGTCGTAAGCCTATTTGGACCCTATTCAGATGATTTGGTTCCCTAAGCATGGTAATAATTTGGAGGCTGCTACATACATGATAAAAGCAAATAGTAATTGTTCATCAAGTGAGCTCAGAGTTTATCTCATTTTTTCTTTCCGCGGAGCACCCATTACTGTAAAACATAGATATGTTGTCTTTTTAACTTGGCCGATTGCAACAAGTACCAAATGAATGGAATATCAAAGGGACTAATCCTACAAGCTTCAAAGCTGCCTGTAAAGCATGGACACGAAATTTTCCAGATGATTTGGTAAAAGATCATGACAGATGAATATGTTCAGCACCTATATAGTCCTGACAATTTTATCCTCGACAGTAAGTCACGTAGAGTCACATTATGTGGAGATACAGCAACTAAGGCACCATAATTCCAGATTTCCACCTGTTTTTATACACATTGCCTCGGCGTTCAAATTTTGACTGTCTAAAGTCATAAGGGGTTCTAAGTTGTGATAATTGGAACTTCCAACAAAAACAATATCTGAGTGAAGTTCTAGCAGGGGAAAAGAGCTGTTGGCTGCTGGGACAGTGTAGTCAATCTGCCACTTAACATAGTAGAATCTTCACTTTGTGTTTGTTACCTAAAGGCAACACAAACTTAACTGGAAAGTCTGTAATTCTTTCATCAATTAAATAGACTCTCAACAGATTGGATACCCAGGATTCATATAGCCAACCCAACTAATTTAGTACAGCCAACAATAGCTACCAATAGGAAATATAACTAACCACTAGTGCAGCAATATTTTGACTATTTTCCACCTTCCTCCCCAGGGATTCAAGTAACGTCTTAAATAGTGACATGCATGAGAACATCATCAAAAAATGGTGACATGCATATGAAATGAGCTTGTAGCGTCCCTGATAATTTCGTAAGGTCTTAAGTCCTTAAAGTGCGCCAAGGAAAAATGGCAGACATGGAAAATACTCTACGAACACGTTAATATACATGCAACATTGTTCGGGGTACATTGACGGCGGTAATCGGCATTTCAATTGCAAAGCCAAAGAGCATAGCTAAGTGTGGAACCAATAATGGAAGTCACGACCAATCTCATCTTAAGCAAATTCAAGATAAGTTTTGTATAATATTTTGTGTTAATTAAAGTTAGTTAACACCTATATTAACCCCATTACACATCTGGATTGGCTACGTTCCAACAAAAACTTCGAGAACACCCACAAGAACTCAAGTTAGGGCTTGGTTTGGAAGAGGTATTTCTTCATCCCATTTTTTAATATAATAATGGATTGAATATTTGGAAGGTGTAATGAAGTAGAAATTACTATTTTATTTAAGTTCTATGCAATTTCTTGAAATAAATCATGCCCAAGTTAGGGTTAAATTGAGGAAGAAGATGAACAATGTCGGATTTATATGAACGATGTTGTTTGGAGGTTCTAATGCAGCGACTAGACTCCATAACACACATAATGAACGAATCGGAGCTAAAATCGAGAATCGACCGTCAATGGAAAATATGATTTTTTTGGGAAACTTTGGGAATAGTGTAAGACACTTTATTGATTAAATTAGTATCATTGTGATTTGATTGATGAATACCAGTTCGTTTATATAGATTAAAGTTGGATTGACCAACTCGCTCTTTAACATTTGGAGCTAACGGCTAGTAAAGTAAAGCGACTTTAAGGTATGCCGAGTTTTAAACTTCTTGCGTGTTTTCAAATTAACTCTTGCTTTAAAAGTAATATTTCAAATGAGATTCCATGGTATGAATTATTTTCAAATATCAAGTGTGACAAGCGTCGTTAGAATCACTAAGATATTTGAAATATTCTTTCTCGGTATCAGGTATGACAAGCATCGTTAGAATCATTAACGCATATCAAGTGTTATTTAACTTGTAATCTCAACGTCCGCATCTCAAAAGCTTCGCAACAATAGGCCAGGGCACATCGGGGCACAGAACCCACGAGCTCGATCTTCCTACCGACCAGATAAGCAATGGTATACTAGAGTACAGAACAAACAGGCCTGATCTTTTTCTTGACCAGATGAACAATAGTACATCAGGGTACAGAACCCACGGGCCCAATCTCCCTCTCGACTAGATGAGCAATGGTAAGTCGGGTACATAACCCACGTACTCAATCTTTCTCTCGAATGAGCAATCACAAAATAACATTTGCATAATTTCCTTTTTATTTTCATTTCACAAATCAAGGCCTTTGGCTAAATCCCTTTCATTAAATCAAGTCTTTCACTTTACTTATTTATTGAAAACCAAGAGCAAAGGATTTCAACATTTTCTTAGTTAATACTAGAGGTGGCAAAATGGTTAAAAAAAACAGTTATCCACCTATATTATCCATTAAAAAATGGATTGGATAATGAACTTTTTTAAAACGGGTCGAATATGGATAAGAACCATATTATCCGCTTAAAAACTGGTTAACCAAATGGATAACAGTGTTGTCTTAAGCCCTGAAGCGAGGCTCAAAACACGTTGAGCGCTTCGCCTCGCTTTACGGGCGCTTCAGTGTCGCATCAAGGCTCTAAGGCATACTTTTCCTTGCCAATGAATGTAATCCTGAAAAGGAAACACTAAATCATTGATATTTCACTTTATCGTAATTTTCTTATCCATATATTTCTTATTCATGCTTATAATTATTGGTTTTAAACTATATATACATATTTTTACTTTTTCTCCAGTTGCGCCTTTTTTCATTAAAGCCCACGCTTTATTTACGCTTTGCGCTTAAAGCCCCAACGGGCCTTAGAGCTTTTTTGCGCTTTTCGCCTTTGATAACACTGATGGATAACCAATGGATAACTAATGTGTTTAACTTTTACATTTGTAAAGCCTCAAATTGGGGGTTTCTCAAGTTTAGGAAACTAGGAATTCTCCTATAAATGATCATATTCAAGAAGCAATGGATAATATGGATATCTATATTATCCATATTATCCATAATATGGATATCCATATTATCCGCCGGATAACCCGTTTTTATCCGTCTCAAATACGGGTCTGATCGGATAATTTATCCGTTTTTTGAATTACTCGTTTTCGACTCGCTCATATCTGACCCGCCTGTTTGCCACTCCTAGTTACCAATACTACGAATTTGTAATCAAGCCACGTTAATCATTTAAATGATATGGTGTGTCACACGATAACCCAAGAATTTTTTAATAGCCATGGTACTATTATAAAGTTCAGGACATAGCCATTTAGGAAATTATATCATTTAAACTCAACCAAAAAGTAAATCACACAAACTTGTCCCGCACGTGCATAGAATCTCAATGAAATATAATTTTCAAAACACGAGTTAATTTGAAAACACTCAAGAAGTTTAAAGCTCGGCATACATCAAAGTTAGTTTACTTTACCAAGCATTAGTTCCAAATACTAAAGAACGAGTAGCAAAGGATTTCAACATTTTCTTAGTTAATACCAATGCTACGAATTTGTAATCAAGCCTCGTTAATCATTTAAATGATATGGTGTGTCGCACGATAACCCAAGAATTTTTTAATAACCCAGGACATAGCCATTTAGGAACTTCTATCATTTAAACTCAACCAAAAAGTAAATCATGCAAACTTGTCCCGCACGTGCATAGAATCTCATTGAAATATAATTTTCAAAATATGAGTTAATTTGAAAACACTCAAGAAGTTTAAAGCTCGGCATACATCAAAGTTAGTTTACTTTACCAACCGTTAGCTCCAAATACTAAAGAACGAGTAGATCGACCCAAACGAATTCAATCAACGAACTCATATTCATTAGCCAAGTATCAGAACGATACTAATTTAATTAATAAAGTGTCTTATACCATTTCCAAAGTTTCCAAAAATTCTATATTCGTCATTGAACGTCAATTCTCGATTTTTAGCTCAAATTCATTCATTATATGTGTTAGGGAGTATAATCACTTTATTAGAAACCCAACACTGTTCATATCTAATATTATTCATCTCCTTCCGCAATTTAGCTCTAGCTTGGACATAACCCATTTTCAAAACTTTGCATAGAACTTCAATAAAATGGTACTTTCTACTTCACCAACCCTTCCAAATACTCGATCCATAATTATATTCGAAAAAAGGGTGAAGAAATTACCTCTTCCAAATCAAGCCCTAATTTGAGTTTTGATGGGTGTTCTCAGAGTTCTTGTTGAATTTATTCAATCCAAAATATGTAATGAGATTAATATAGGGGTTAACTAACTTTAAACAACAACAACATCAGGCCCAGTATAATCTCACATAGTGGGGTCTGGGGAGGGAAGTGTGTACGCAGCCTTACCCCTACCTCGTGGAGAAATTAACTAACTTTAATTAACACAAAATATTAGACAAAACTTCCCTCGAACTTGCTTAAGATGAGATTGGCCATGACCCCATTATTGGTTCCACACTTAGCTATTCTCTTTGGTTTTGCAATGGAAATGTCGATTGGAGGGTGGGGCCATATAAGAGTTGTAGCTTTGGACCTTGCTTAGTAGGAATAAACTGATCTTTTGATGTCCATTTCGTGACCCAAGTAATGGGTTTATATAGAACCACACTTATTGCACACAAATCTCATCTTTATAACTCATTTTCTGACCAAGGAAAGAGATATGTACAAGGGGTTGAGTTTGCCCACTTTGCTGGCGATATAGTGCGTCGCAAGTTCATCTGGTGTGGCTATTATGCACTTTGTAGCATATTGTCATATAAACTTTGGCAAAATTTCAATTAGCATGCGATGGGGTACGATCCATGCACCCCATAAATTTCCTAAGGACTTAAAACCTTATGACATTTTCAGGAACGCTACATTCTCCCTCACTTATGCATTTGATACGGTCAACATACGGGCTAGGATTCCTGCAGCTTCATTACTCTTAGTGAGCCCAATTTGATATTGTGGGATTCATATTGATGTATTTTCATTGTCTTCTTTCTATATCGTGTGAGCTAGTGTTGGAACTTTATTATTTCATTCGTAGCATCATAGAGACTCCATATATGAAATTTGTATTCTTTTGGGTCATGGGTACTCCTCGTATGGCATTCGAATGGCATATTTAGTTATGTCTTGTAATACGATTTCTCACTTTAATTCAAATGGTAATTATCTCGTTTTACTCATTTAATATTGCAATTATTTAAATAAATTGAGATACAGGGGTACGAATTGGGTATTTAACATGTCATATAGGTTTGCTCGGTCCTGATGGCAGGTACCGGGTGTCAGCCACATCTCACCCCATTTCTGGGGTGTGACGGAGCTACGGATGGAAAAGTCAGCAGCAAAGCTATGTCCTAACTCTAGATGTGTCTATAATCATAGGATCTGATAATGCATATAGGTTTGCTCGGTCCTGATGGCAGGTACCGGGTGTCAGCCACATCTCACCCCATTTTTGGGGTGCGACAGAGCTACGGATGGAAAAGTCAGCAGCAAAGCTATGTCCTAACTCTAGATGTGTCTATAATCATAGGATCTGATAATGCAGAGCCCTAACTTACTAAATTATCATTACCAATAATTGGGATAAATAAGTATTCACTTCCAGCTTTATAACCATGTGATATCCCTTTTTACTTAGCGGAGTTTGTATCTGTTTATATATTTGCTAAATTAAGTAGAGCTTTTATTAGACCAAAACCGCTGAAAATCAAGAGAAAATATTATTTTAAGCTGAAAGCTTTAAGAGGACAAGAGGTCAAGTTATAGATTAGCAACTTGAAAGGAAAGGGAAACGGATGAAAGCTCCTTGGATCCAGGTTTTAATGGTTTGGAATCACAATGTAAGGAGCATAGAGAATGCCGAGTCAAACAGTAAAACAGACACAACAACTTAAAACTTTAGGGGGATACAGCACGGATAGGAAAAGAACCTGCAATGATTTATAAAAAGTTAATCTACCCCATGAAAGAATACAAATAGTTACTACTTTTCCAAATTATTTTGCACTTTTCCTCTTTCTAAGAGTGAATTTGATACGTTAAATTCATTTGCCAATTGAGGATAACTTTAAGAGACTAGATAGATGAATTATGTTACAGATTGAACTTTTCTTTTGCAAATGTTAACAAATACTAGTATAAAACAGTTATGGTCTGGTTGATTCTCAAATAACACCCTTCAGCATATCAGCTACAAGTGTTCATTGCTGATAAAACCCACATAGAAGACCATCAACTTAAGTACAAAGGCTTAGATAAATAAGAAGCACATTTAGTCAGGATATCATGGACAATGTCAAATGAAAGAGGGTATTAAGTTAGTATTATTAAGAAATCCCTAAAACTTTAATAAAAGGATTTTGCATAAGCCCTTGCAATTCTTTTACTGATTGAAGAATTACTAAGAACTATTTTACAACAAGAACTGCTATGCCCCCAAACAGGTTGGGTCAGCTATATGAATCATCACTTATCAAGTTACTCCATTCAAACTATTTTTAGAACTACAAACCTCTTCCAATAAACAACAATGTTATATACTTGCTCAAGAAAGTAACAGTAATCATCAAACCACATTCAGAAATCACAAATTTCCAAAAAAGAAAAAAGGTCTTAAATCAAAATAAATGGCATACAGTTCAGCAGAAATGTATTCAATTCGCTTTTTGACATTGGCTCTTGCCTCAGCCAAGTCCTGCTTCACAAGCACTGGCCCTATCAACTTGTAAACATTCGCATCTTCATTCAATAGATCCAATTCCTGCACACCCAACTCAAAAACAAATGTCTCAATATCCCAAAAATTGCAAAAACAAACACACCCATATGAGCATATGAAAGTAAAAACAATAACAATGATAATACCTTGAGAACAAGCTCATTTTCACCTAGTTGAATAGTGTACTTCTTTCTGATTTGGTGGTTCTTTGATATATCTGTAAATATATCACAAATAATATATGAATAAAAGGGTTTACTTTTAGTAAGAAAACAAACAGGAGGAGGATTAAAGAAGAAAGATTATGCCTTTTTGAAGTTTGCTAAGATCGTTGGCTTTGTTCTCTAGGTCACGCTGCAAATCTCGGAGAGCGACTGAAGAAGCCATTTTTCTACTGGTGTAATTGGGTTAGCTTATTTTTTGTTGCCGGAGATTTGGGGTTTAGTGGAGGAGTGCGGCGGCGACCGGGAATCGTGGCTCTACCCGGAGATTTGCTCGTTCAATTTCTCGTGTGTCAAATAGTTTAGGAGAAAATATAAATATTGTTTAGTCCTCAAGTTTTAGTAGTCATTCTACTTCAGTCCTTCAGGTATTACAATTAACAATTGATACAATCCATTTCGAGATCGGCTTGACACAAGTCCTTAACAAAATGGAAGTCGCCAAGCCTAATTTGAACGGATAAAGATCCCTTTAACTAAAGATCAAATATTCCAAAACAAATTTAGTTTGACCAAAGGTAGGAAAAGCATACACCTAAATTGTTGGTCAGCCGTGCATGCATATGTAGAAATAGATAAAGGGAAAACTATCGTCGTTCCCAATAATAATAGTCGTTCAAATATATATTTTTTTTTAGAAGTTTGGCCTTTGTGGGTATGAAAAAATGTAAAGGTATGCCAAAAAAATATTGAAGAGAGGTAATTAGGCAGGATATGACGTAACTTAAATTTACTAAAGACATGACTCTTGATAGGAGGTCAAGGATTAGGGTAGAAAGTTAGTAGGTAGTCGAATAATTTTTTTTTGTTTTTCCGTACCGGTAATGTTAGTGTTAGTGTTAGTATGATATTATTTATTCTTAAATCGCTATTACTACTTACTATGTGATTGCTATCTTTTGCTTCGATTATCTTAATATGTTCTTGTTGTTACTGGTTGTTGTCACGACTTCTTTTCATATTTTATTTAACTGAAGATCTATCGGAAACAGTTTCTCTATCCTCCAGTGTAGGGGAATGTCTGTGTATACACTACGTTCCCGAGATCCCACTGGTGGAATTCACTGAATATTGTTGTAATGTATAATATACATATTTTTTATATATTTAACTAAAGGATATAATTATTTTTGGCCAACTGGTCATATGTAACTAGTTCAATAAATAGTTGGAATTGATGGCAATATATAGGCCTAATATACCTAGGTCAAATTAGGCTTGAAAACCCAAGAAGGAGGAAACCCCATGAATTTGAATCCCCAGTGTAGAGAAACAATCCAACAATAAGACTGAATGCATCTAAATTTTTTCTAGTTAGTACTTTTAATCTTATTACTATTAATCTCGTATGCATTAAATTCTTTTTATAATTTTTTATTTATCTTACTGATTCAGGATTAATTAAATTTATAGTTGCAGCCTTGTCTCATATGGCCGATAATTATTCTTCTCTCTAATGTCTATATAATTGTGAGTTATTTGAAAAATATCCTACGTTATATAAAGTTCTTGGATTGAGTAATCTTAGTTGGTTTTGTTGGAAAAATTGTATATCTTTATCTATATCTATTATTTCATCTAACTGTTGATTTTCTTCTTATTTTTTTCTCATTATTATTCGTGATAATATGTTATTACCTATTCTTATATGAAAAACTTACTCTTGGTCTTTCTTCGGTTGTTCTTATCCTACTTGAAAAGGGGTCTATTTTTTTAGGTCTCCTTACTAATTTTTCTTTTTGAGGTGTTATTTCTACCCTTTTTAATTATTCTATTAAATCTTCTACTTTTGGGGTTTCTATTTCTGGTTTTACTTCTTTATCTTTAATAATTTTATCTAATTTTCTATTAACTTCTAGAAGTAATGCTATTATAGTATTATTTTATTTAATTTTTATCTGTTCAATTTTTTCGTGAGGAATATGATCTATGAATCCTTCCGGGTTAGTTTGGAATTTAGTTGTGAAATTTAAGGCTTTATCATATATTAGTTCTATGTCTAAATCGTTCATGAAAGAGAGACTTCTTTTAGTATTTCTAACGTTTCTTTTAATGTGCCTATATCACTTGTTAATGATTCTAATTTATGAATTATCTTTTCTATTAACTTAATCGTTTGAATTTCTAGTTCTTTAGGTCTTTCTGTAATAGTTCTGATTAATTTTTCAATCTCACTTTTTGTAGGTATTTTTTCTAGGTTAAATTTATTATTTAAAAATTATATTTTTCTATCTATCTCTAGTTCTTGTGACTTTAGGAAATCAAAATTATGTTCTATTTTTTCCAAGATTTTTCTTTGTTTGTTTTGTAGAAACTCTATTATATTTAGTGTTCTGGTTATGTTTTTATTATTATCTTGTGATTTCTCACTAAGATTAATTATTAAGTCTATCAAAATATTATATTGATTATCTTCTGTGTGTAATATATGGTCTCCATTGCTAAAATTACACTTTATAATTGAATTATCTTTTAATACTCTATATTTTTTTTCTGGATATATTCTTAAGTCTAAATATTCTAGATTCTTTAAATTATCTATTTTTAATTAGCCTAGTGGTATCCAAATTTTTCTATGTTTAAAGAATTTTATCCTTTGCTTTTGATAATTTATATCACCTTCTAATCCTTGTATTTCCCAGTCTAACACAGATATGTTTTCTTCACTAATAATATTTGTTTTACTATTTGACTTGATGTTAGCTGAATTCTTGATCCTGATTCTTTTCTCCGTTGGGCTAATTCTAAAGTTGCTTTTAAGAGTTTTTAAACTTTGTTAATTACTTTTATTAATTCTATTTTTGTGTTATTTCTTTATTTAAAAATCAATAATTATTAGTTATTTTCTTTGTCAGACGATGTTGTTTCATATAGTTTATCCTAAAGAGAAATAGTTTATTTTTCTTCTAATGTTTCTTATATATTCTTTTTCTAGGGTAAGACTTATATTACTCTTTTAATTTCTTGAATAATAAAATTTCTATAATCAACTCCTCTATATATATTTGCTATTCCTAGATCAACTTCTTCTGGATTATTTAGATATTCTAATAGTTCTCTCTTACATCTTATTATGACTTGAATTCTTTCAGAGGTAAGGTATATTATTTGTTGCAGAAGGCCTATATGTTTAGCAAAATTATGTTGTCTCATAAATTTATTGTCCTAAAATCTTCTTGCTCTGATACTAAAGTGAAATGGGGTAAATCAGAAAGACGGAATAAATATTATGTTGTAAGGGTTAATCAGAAAGACTGAATAAATATTATGTTGTAAAATTCTACTCGGTACTCTCTCTCTTCTTAATCTGTAAAATTGTATTGTTAATATTTTATCAAAATTATGAGCCGATATATANTTCCTAACTCCTATTTCTTTAACCACACTCTCGCCGTAGTTAAATACGTTTGCCCATTCTAAGACCTTTTATGGCAATATTTTGGGCTTATTTTTAACCGCTCACTCCTAGGAATTTACAGGTTAATCCATTAGAGTTATTAAGAGATTGAAAATATAACCATATACTACTTGGAGTGATTTTTTAGTAAATTCGATTATTGGCAAGTAAAAATGCATGAAGAAAGTATAGAATGGACGACATTCACTTGTCCTGAAGGACATTTCGAATGGCTGGTAATGCCATATATATATATATATATATATATATATATATATATATATTCACTCTGTTCATCTCTTCTTTCTAATTTTTAAAGATCTACTATTTTCTTAACTCCTCTTTCTTTAACCATACCCTAGCCAGTAGCCACAGTTAAACATGTTTGCCCATTCTAAGACCTTTTATGGCAATATTGTGGGCTTATGTTTAACCGATCACTCATAGGAATTTATAGGTTAATCCATTAGAGTTATTAATAGATTGGAAAGATAACCATATACTTAGAATGATTTTTTAATTATGTACAACTAGCAACTAACAATTTAAAACATATAATATAAAACTTTAAGACATAAAAAATAGAGTGGGGTAATAAACAGTAACATAATTTTTAGTAAAAATATTAACTTACATGTTTACATGAGAGAGATTTTCCTTTCGGTAAACCCGAAAGAGTTTTACTGGACTTGAAATTAAACACCTTCACACTAAAACATAGGATTTATTTATCTTGCATACTTAAGATAGGAACTATTATAACATACATAAGAAAATATTTTTATATAGAGGGTTGTGGATGGTGAATGGTTGAAGGGAAAGGGGTGTTTGTATTTTTCTTCTGGTTGCTCTGATACCAAGTCCTAGTCCAGAAATAAACCATAGCCCAGAAATATCCCGGAGATCGGGAGAAGAAGGTAATTATAAAGATGATAAAAATTATTATCAAGATGCTCAAGATCCAAATGATGACTTAGGGATGAGTTTCGACTCAATAGCTCTACGTAATCTCGACACATAAAAACAGACAAACAGACTCCATCCATCAATAATTAAAAGAAAAAGACAAAGATGGAAAGCATAAAGAAAGTGAAGAAAGCTGATGATACAAGAGACGAAAATGACATAAATAAAGAAGAAGACTTCAAGGACAATAATGCAAAAGAAGATAATAATGCAAAAGATGAAAATGACATAAAGAAACAAAGAAAGGGACGTAAAATGGATGGAAAAATAAAAGAAGGAATCTCTCCTTACAGGTCATGTGACGATGGGGCACAATGCAATACCCGGCAAGGCGTGCAGTGAAAGGTTTTTGAAATCCATTTTTGAAATCCGTTCGAAAGACTTGCCTATATAAAGAGACGAAGATTGAAGAATGTTTCACGACCCAAAATCCACCTAGTCGTGATGGCACCTAACCTGTAACGACTCGGCCGATCGTTTTGAGTATTACAACCCTGCTTCCCCCTTTACTACTCAAATTATACTTTACAGTTGTTGTATGAATTGCCGAGGTAAATGGTTCGGGTCTGGCGAGGTTTTAGAATGAATTGGAATACTTAGTTTCAAGGTTTAAAGTTTAAATTAAAATAGTGACCGGATATCGACTTATATGTAAACGACCCCGGAATAGAGTTTTAATGATTTCAATTGCTCCGTATGGTGATTTTGGGCTTAGGAGCATTTTAAAAAATTATTTAGAGGTCCGTAGTGGAATTTGGCTTGAATTGCCGAAAGTTAAATTTTCGGAAAGTTTGACCGGGCATTTGACTTTTTGATATCGGGGTCGGAATCCGATTCTAGAAATTAGAATAGGTCCGTAATGTGAAATGTGACTTGTGTGCAAAATTTAAAGTCATTCCGAATTGATTTGATGTGTTTCGATACAAGATGTAGAATTTGAAAG